AAAATCTTCCATCTCAAAGGGTCACATGACTTCCTACTAGAGTTGCGCGCAGGAATCAAAGTGTCGTGCGTAAAAAGGTAAAATACAGAATAAGAAGTCACGTGTACAAAGTGTAGAGCCGGGTGCGTGAAAGTGTTTACCCGGTCATCTGTGGCGAATGGTTGATAGTTACAAAGTCTGAGGTTTCTGAACATTAGCATTTCTGGAAACGTTACTACGCCCAACCACGCAGCCATGTGGAGGGGAATTTCGACATGCCGAAATTGAGCAAAGAAAACACAAGGATAAAGGAGTGAAAGATAAGGTCCGAGAAGTTTGGGAGCGGGAGGGTGAAAGGCTGTTCGTGGGTGAGCTACGGGGGACTTGGTCAATGAGGGAAAGGAAAGGGTGAGCCTTTCTTGATACATTGGATTGTGTACAACAGTTAGTCTCTGGATGGGATTTCTTGCTAAACGTCATGGCGCTGTTCGTCTTGATAATTCAACTGACACTAATGGTTGATTACTTAGTCTAAAGTATGTCGATGACATGACTATTGTGGAGAGCAGTAGAGGGAATGGCCCCATATTGGGCGAACTTAGTCAATGGGTGGTACAAAATAATATGAAAGTTAACCCGGGTAAATGTGCTTGCATGAGTGTATGCTTTACGAAAAATATTCCACAATTTCCTCCTTTACAGATTTCCTCTACTGATCTCCACATAGTTGATTGTGTAAAAATTCTTGATGTTTTAATCAGTTCAGATCTTAGATGGGGCAAACATGTTGACCAGATTTATTGCAAAGCTAGCAATTTGGAATGCTGGTTTAACTAGCGCACAAATCAACAAATTAGAGAGTATTCAATAGCGTGCCTTAAAATTATATTGGGCCCTTCTTGAAGTGTAATTTCGTCTCCGTCCACGACCGTAGAAGAGGCCTTTGCGTTGACTTTACTATTAAAACTAAAATGTTCAGACAGTGGTTGCCTCAACCCAGAAGTTCTAGCGCGCAATATCAATTAAGAAATTCGAACAAACCTTCCGTAATCAGATGCAACACAAACGTAGTCCAATACCCTACTTTGTAAGTATTTTGAATCACATATAGCCCTTTCTTTCACATGTTTTAAATCATGCTTTTGTTTATTAGTATTTTATGGAGTGTACTTGTTCTTAGCTCTTATTCATTTCCTTATAATTGTGTTTAATTGTGTCCAGTCGGGTGTTCTTTTGAAATTGTAAACAATGTAGCAATTTAGCCTTTGGGCTGAAAGTGCATTGTGTTTTTAATAAACCAGAAAAAAATAATTAATAAAATCTACCGCCTGTCCAAAATAAAACTCATTCAAAAAGTAATTGGTAGTTTTTCCAAAAGTAACTTTTATGAATTGTTGGTTTTGGGATTGAAGCTTGAAGATAACACACTGAGCTTTTGATTTGATGGCAAAAAACGATTCCTGATACTTAGGCCCCCCTATTGTATTTTGCAGAACTTGAATGCTGTGTATTTGGAAGCCACTACGATTTTCCCCAGATTTTAAATTTTGCCCACAGATATTCCATCAAAAGAGCAAAAGCTTTAAAGACGAGAAGTGTGAAAATTAAATGTTAATCAATCCAAAGGAAAATATTCGTCTAAAGTACATTTTTCATTTCAAGATATTTGGGTTTTTTTCAAAGCTGTAAGTTCAGATTTGTGTCCTGGAATTAGTATAAGACTGTCGGTTTAGTCTGTATTCTTTTTCAGAGATTTCTGTTTTCTTTTTTTAGTGATCTAAGATTGAAGTAAGTCCTGACCTCTGGAAAGAAATTTAAAAGGTCATTTGCCATCAGAGGTAATAAAAGATGTGTCTTGTTGGAAACATATTAGTGTAAATATTTGAAACTGGATCCCGGAAACAGCTTGGCCTTACCGTCTAAGTCGTAGACGTCAAAAAAGAACCGGAGTTTTTCCTCTTTGGTTCCCTTGGTGAGAAGGAAGAGACCGTCCATCATTTCTTGTTGGGAGATCGTCCCACTTTGATCATTGTCTAACATATCAAAGAACCGGTCGGCGAAAAACACCTGACGTTGTAAGACAAACCAGAATATAAAGACATTTTAAAAGGGGGGTCATCGAAATTTGAAGCACCTAATGAGCAGTGACCTTCCGAACTTGAATTGTAAGCCCCACGGAATTAGATTTGAGATTGCAAAAGTAATTAACAGGTAAACAAGACATTGTTTTACGTATGTTTCAGGTTTTCTTTTGATCTTTGTCCAAAGTCACCACAAGGATGCTTTACAAGCTACGTCCAATCCCAGTATTCCAGGTGGTTTTAGATTTTAGCCTTACATCAGAACAAACAAATTAACCCACTAACATTTCGTATGCCCAAAGCATTCTTGAAGCTCTCCCGGTCGATGTCCGTGTCTTTGCCCGCGATAGACGCAAAGCGTGACTCTGCCCACACCAGCCACTTTGCGTCAGCGTCCAAAACATTTCTATGATAATAAAGATGAAAGATTAAACCAGCAGTGGCTACAAGAAATAAGTAAAATGTCTGTTGTACGTGATTCGGCGCGGCGCAGGGGCGGATCCGGAATTTGTCAATTTGGCCAATTGTGCACAAGTGGACGCACGTGTAATGTATTACATTATTCACTGATGTACAAATAATAATTCTTATACAATGTAGTCTTTTTAAACGCTACCTTTTATCTGTATTAGTTTTCGTCAACGACACTGTTCTTTCTTCAAACACTAATCTCCCATTAACACACACAAAGCAAAACAGGAAAAATGAGCATTATTACAAGTCACTCTTCTGCAGATATTTGACGATAATACGACTTTACCTAGAAGACTAATAGTTGGCCGCCGACGAACACGTTATACCTGATATACATTTGGAAGTGTACAGAAAGACAAGTTTTAGTCACAAAAATCTTCATTGCCACTTTCGATTGTTTCAACGACGCTTACTTGAAATGTCGTTAGTATTGACTGTTGGGACTTCTAAGGGCTTATGCCTAATTTTGTTAACAATGGCTGCAAAGCCTTCTAATTGTTTAGTACACTGTTAGAAATTTTCCTGTACTTTTACATAGCTTCTTATGTCTATTCGTATTACCAAAGAGGCTTATTATGCACATGAACAGATTTTTATTTGTGGATTGACAAAGATGTTTTTTTCTGACTAGTTATGTTTGTGGAAGCAAGGTAGACGAGGTGGAGGAAGGCAGCTTGCAAGGTTGCAGGAGGCTAGTTACGCTTTGTTGAGCATGACATTGACACGTTTCATTTTGATTTTACAGAAACCCATTGTGGCACAACCTAATTTTCTACAGTGTGCGGTCTTTCTGTTTTCATCGTTGGAAACCTCCTCTTAACAACGTATCAGAAGGGGTTCAAACAAAATACAACATATGAAAACAATTATTGTGTCATAATCAACCATATTCCTCGGAAGACACCCTTAATGTAAGTGGAATTAGATTGAACTAAAACGACCGTTGTGAATCCATAGTGTAAGTATAGACCAGCCGGCCAACTGAGGGCGGTCTGTAGAGCTTGCAAGAAGGGAAAACAGATAAACATGGTCTGAAAATCACCTTCCCAGAATATCTATCTTCAACACGATCGTAGATTTGGTGATACATGTCACAGTTTCTGAAAAAATGAGCTTGAAATGGTTTTCTGAATAATATTCGAATTTTTGGCCATGTTTATCCCTGGAGTAATAAATATCGAGCGTGAATTTCAATTCCTGGTTTATTTTACAATGTCAACAACCTTTCATCGGTGAACTCCACATTAGTAAATTAAGTTGGATTGACCTGAGCGGCAAGCACGTTAATATTTGTCTGTGAGCATCTTTATACTAGCAATTCACCTTGAGCAAAAGCACCCCCTTGTTGGTTGCACAGAGACAGATTGGTTGGAAGTGTTCATTTTTGCTTGAAGGGAAGCGCCCGTGACGCGTGCATTTCAAAGTGGTTCGTGAACCAGCGAAGTGCAGTTCTGGCCAAACGAACATGCAATGCCTGCCTAGGAAAATTGCGCCCTCTCATGATCCAGGGGATTTATTGTTTCACCTTATAGAAATATTTCAGTGTGTAGGAACTGATAATAACTTAATTATGTTTGATACCTATGGTGGACTTTGGACGTCAAAGGCAAACGTCCAATTCAAGGAAAAGATGAGAAAAACATATATAAATAATATGCTTGGCCATTGAAGACAACAATGCAAACAGTACGACCTCTGCGCTCCTCAGTGGCAAGGCTCACAAAGTATGGAAAAAGCGAATTCGAAAACTCTAAGTGACTTCTAAATTCCAGTTTAATAAAGAAACAAGCAGCCAGTTGTACAGCTGCGATGTCTGAGGTCATTGTAGCTAAGGCCTAGTTGAGCAGGTTTTTTCCTACTTCAAGAATCTTAGGTCACTTTTCTGTGTGACTCAGACGCGTTGTTTTTTTCATGGGGTGGTATTAAACGAGAAGTTTATTTAATCCAGTGTTTGTGGTGAAGAGCCGGTAACGCAAACTCCACTTTTCAATCACATTTTTCCGTGAGAGCAACCGTGAGGTACTCACAGCTGTTGGAAACGGTTGCACGGGACTTTGAGATCATAAGACCAAGTTTTTTTTTTTTAAATCTGACATTTTTACTCACCAATCTCTCGTTTTCCCCCGACGATAATCCCACCGTTAATGCCGTTGTATGTATCACATTTTACATGCATAGGGCTAGCCAATGTCTAATCTTGCTCTGCATTTCGGTTGAACCATTTTCGGAACTGTGGGACTACACAGCGCAGGCCACAAGCGCAGCGCATGTCGCGCGTCCTGATGGTATAAGTCATCTTAGAAGTCACACGGTGAAGACGGTCGTGCAATAAAACAAGTTGCAGTACCCCACGTCCGAAAATGGTCGAACCGAAATCGCACGAGCAATTTCATAAGAACAACGGCATGAACGGTGCAGTTGTCGCAGAGAAACGGGATTTCGGTGAGTAAAAATGTGAGATTTAAAAAGAAACAAAAACTACTTGGTCTCATGGTCTCAAACTCCCATACGAGCGTTTTTAATTGGTACCCCTAGGTTGCTGTTATGGGAAAATCTCACTACAAAAGTATGGTTTGTGTTACCGGATTTTCCTCGCAAAAACTGGTTTAAAAACCGCAGAGTGTTACGACCCAATGAAAATAATATATTTGGGTTACAAACAGTAGTGATTTACAGTTACAACAAGGCTTTAGCAACAATGACATCAAACATCGCGGCCACACAACACGAACTCAAAACTTTAGGGATTGGGAAGAACCGTCAAGCCTATCTAGACGTTTATTGTTGGAATGCAATTGAAAGGAAAAGCCCGCAGGCTGTAGCGTAGCTGGAGCTAGGCCAAGGTTTTCAAAGGCCTATAGCGTGCAAACACGCCAAAAAGGCCGCACCTCGCATCCATATCTATCGCTATGCTCGACTTCATCACAGAAGAATTGCAAACGTCCAACTTGTTGGTATACCCAATGCAGCCAAAGAGTCTGTATTTTGTGAACTGAAATTCTTTGCAGGCTGATTTTTTCACGTTTGATAATTTGTATTGAGACAGAAGTGTGACACATATTTTTTTCATGTGACACAGATCCTGCACAACCGCTAAAATCTTGTTAGGCCTACATCGTTCTAATCTAGTGGTGCTCCATGGCGGGGGTCGCTTAAATTATAAGTTGAGGCACACCAAGGCATTAAAGACAAGGAAACAGCAGTCACGGTATACTATTCCCAATCAGATTTCAAGGATTTTTAAGTTACGCGAGCTTTTTAGGTTCCTATTAAATGTTAAAGTTTGATAAAACTAATTTACGTCCAACTTTACTTTTTTCCAGCGTCTGGATTCCTAATGAAGTCTGCATTGAAACTTTCCATGCCGCATTCCTTTTACTAAACTTCCAAACCTCCAATTGGGTTCATGTTAACTAAGAGTACTTGGCCTTGAGACTTCTCTCTACGGTGTCCACAGTGGAAAGACAGACTACTCTACTGTCTTTTTTTTTTAAATTTACATGGAGCTCGGTAGTGTTCCAGATACTAAAAATATGAGTATAGAAACACTTCCCTTCTGAAACCTCATTTTCCTTTTGTCACACCTTAAAATTTAGTCTATCCATGGGCAATTATTTCTGTTTGACAGTAGAGATATACAATATGGAGGGACAAAAGATGCCCTTCAGTTCTTTTTAGGAAGGCACTAATTTTGGCCACGGGGCATTGAACAGTCGTTTGGAGGAAATAGACTTTAAGGTTGGTAACCTTTTGAAATGAACTTTTTGCCTTTTTAGAGCAAATGTTGTCTACTTTCTCCTACAAATAGGAAACTGAGACCTCCAACTTGAAAATATATCAATTACAGAAAAATAGAAAATTGATATGACCATAAAAATTTGCTTGTTTGCGAAAACTTAAATCCCATTTTCCCCTTGCGTGTTGTTTTAGTGGGTCGATTCGCCGATATCCGTAAACAAAATTTATCTTTTCGTGAAGATTCCATTTGAAGTAGTTATCTTAAAATCCAGTGCACGTTGTTTTTTATACGCCAAAAATACCCTTCGTTTGAAAGCTCAGTAGCTGTGTTTTACCCATTTCGCGCTAAATTTTGTATCTATGTGAAAACTCTGATTTAGGTAAAATTTTCCCTAATTTGATTTTCTTGATCTCGATGAGGGCAACTGAGTTTGACAAAAAAACCTCATCAGGATGTTGGTTGCGTGCCACTTAGCCGATTCTGACGGGAAAAGGATTTCGTAAAGACAATGATATTGGCCGAATTTGTCCCTTTGTGAAAACTCTGTGGGTGTGTTAAAGCTTGAACTAAATTTACGTTTACGTTTACGTTTTTTTCTTAAACAATTGAAACTTATGGTAAATATGAAACCTTGCATCAAATAAATCATGCTGAAGTACTTACAAATAAACACTACATCTATTTGTGAAATAGCTGTACATGTACTGAAAATGAAAAAGTTATGTCCGAAAAAGAAGAAAATTGAAAATTATCAACTCATTAAAAACACAAAGTGGGACAACAAAATGCATGCATATTAGGACAAGAGACAAGCAGGTATCACCTTGAAATTTTTGAAATGAGATTTGAGTGTTATCCCTCTTGAGTTTTCAAACTTATAGACGGTTGGCTTAATTTTATTCAGAACTCTCAATTTAGCAGACACATGAAAGGTGCCATCCCGTACAATCTCTTCCAAATCATCTTTGCTCAGCTTTGCTCGTCAAATTAGAATCTAGGTCCCACTCAATGAATTGATGATATGGGAAACGTAGAAAGAATTTCTCAAGGTCTTATAACGGCCTCGTACTGATGGCCTTCGACACCAATCCTGATTTACCTTGTAGGTCAACGGGATGAAATTATTACAGACACATTTTACGCAGCTACATACGTTTCTTCAATGTAGGAAAACAACTAACATTCACTGGGATAACATGAACTGAAAAGCACACTTTTTAAGACATTTAAAGCTGTAAATGCTTTTGTTCAAATTAAGGGGCACTGTTGCTGTGGCGTCAATTAGAAAACTCACTGATAAATTTAAATGGTTTCTGATCAAATTGTGAGCCTGAAATTCGCACCTGGAAAGCATGTCTATGAAAGCGTTGTTCAACGGCCTATTGCCGAAGGAATAGGAAATTAAAGAAGCAAAATTGTAAAAATTCCAGCTGTTTAAATGCAGAACTCAATTAATCTTCGAGGTTTTCTCCCAGGAATGTCTTAACATTTTTTAAATAAACACCAACAGGAAAAAAAATTCACTAGATACTTTGAAAAAGTCTAAAAATTTAAACCCAATTCATTGAAACATAAAGGTTGATTCCCAAAGAGTTCAGTAAAACATTTCACAAAGGTTGATTCCCAAAGAGTTCAGTAAAACATTTCACAAAGGTTGATTCCCAAAGAGTTCAGTAAAACATTTCACAAAGGTTGATTCCCAAAGAGTTCAGTAAAACATTTCACAAAGGTTGATTCCCAAAGAGTTCAGTAAAACATTTCATTATATAAACCCCCTCGTACAGCGTTCTAATTGCAAGCAGGTAACCACTCCCTTCTTAAGCTCAAACGGACATTACATTCTTGCACACCTACCTTCGCCAGTTTTGTGTCTGTCCTCTCGAATTACTAATTTTTCTAAAGCAATCCTCCGATGTACTTGAATCCATGGATGCGAGGATTTACAGACACACCAAATTACACTGACAGTTGACTGACGAGAGATCCAGTTTGTTCACTTTTTTGTCATCGCCAA